GGGGGGGCGCAAGTAATTTTGGAGGGGCGTGCGCACCCCTACCACAAACAATAATAATGTGCCTTTCGAAATAACATTATTTTGATTGCCAATCCCTTATAGAGGGGTGTAAAATTCTCACCATGAACCCTACCTGGAATATTTATTCAGGGACCCTGACCAAGGCTCTAGTCGGGCCCTTGGTTTGGACCCCATTGTCAGACCGTCTGTCGGCAAATATCTGGAGCCACCGCTGATAAAGTACCACTGTGTCAATCAACGAACTGCTTTTGTTTTGACTGAAATGTGGCAATTTTTATAACTAAAATATATCCCTATTCCCTCTTCCTTTAACTTGAAAAGCATGTGTTCACCTTGAACACAAATATGTGGGCATCTATTGTAGCTACTGAACTTCTCTATTTCTTGATGACTTGCTCTTTAATATTATCATGAAATTGAATCATCCAGCAGGCAATGCCTGACTATGTGAGCAGGTTTTCTGTAAAGTGTAATTGAATAGAGTTCTCATTATGAGTTTATAGTTTTGTAGCTGCAGCGATTGTGGCATTATGATAAATTGCTAACTTCTCCTTGATGGCTATGTCTAATACACATTACATGAAATTCAGGCTTAAGTATACAGACATAAAACTCCATTTCTTTCTGAGTCATAGTTACGAAAAAAAAAAGAAAAAAGCCAACTCATTTTCATTTTACATTGCAGCTAGCAAATTTGGCTTTGTAGTGACTTGAATGGAACAGTTACAAACAGGAAAAAGGAGTAAAGCTGTTGCTTGGTGGTTAAGATTTTGGGGGCCCTATTGATCAGGTCCCTGGCAGGATCACTTTTATTAAATATTTTTATTGAATAACCGCTACATTTAAGGGTTAAAATCCTGCAAAAATCAAGAATTATGATGCATTATGTGTTGCACAATAAATTCTAAAAAAGGAGCTTCATAAATAAGCCATTAATTGTTAACACTATATAGGGCAGATTAAATGCTTTTATATAATTTTTTTAGTTATTAAGTGCATTTTGAGAAAAATAGCTTAAATTTAAGCCGCTTTTGTATAATTTATTTTTGAGTTATAAATTTGTAGAAAAAGGACTTAAATGTTAGCCACTTATTGTTAACACTATTTGAGGATATAGCATTTAATGCTTTATTTTTTTTTTTTAGGTATTAAGTACTTTTTGAGAAAGGGGCTTCGAAGATAAACCACAAGATTGTTGACAATATTTGTGGAGTTATAATATATAGTTTAATTTCTCTGAGCTGTTGATATATTTCATGAAAAATAACTCCAACGATAAGCCACTTGTTGCTACAGTAACACCATTTTGCAGATATAGTAAAATGATTTAATATCATTTTTGAGTTATTATTATACCAAAGGTGTATGACACTATGAAATTGTTCGTGGGATTTTAATACTGAACTAACAGAAAATGATGGAAACTCGTTTCAAGTTTCACAAATTTTTTTGCGATTATTTCAATCCGATACAGTAAATCACATCAGTGCAACATGACTCATACAGTGTTGGCGCCGGGGGGAGGGCAATTTATCCCCGTCAGACAAGCCTGGACCAACTGTTGTTGACGAACGACTAGGTCGTCGGGTCAAAAAGTTAAAAAAATAATAATTTTCCTATCAAAAAAATAATCTTAATTTGATTGCCAATTCCTAATATTGTGGTCTAATAGCACATTTTGGAAAATAATAAACCATAAAAACTCTCCCTGTGAACCCTACCTGAGATTTTTTTTATTCTGGGCCGTCGACAGAGGTTTCGTCGGCCCCTTGGTTCCGACCCCTCCGTCAGACACGTCGGACCCCTCGTTGGCAAATTTCTTGCACCACCGCTGGACTCATATTGTTGAAAGAATCACATACATCTTATAAAGCTGGGCACACATTGTGATGAGTGCTTGCTTGGAGAGCATTCTAATATCTACTTTTGCAACTATCAGGAATTTTGATATCTCTGGATTTCATGTAAAATGTGGCTGTTTTAATGTGCTATACTCATTGGTAATAATTATGCAGTGTTAGCTTATGCCATTTTACACTTAGTGCTACTTGCGAGAACAGGCGAAGCAATTAAATTTTTTTTAATTTTTTTTATGGGGTTTTCCCATTGCAGTAAAGCTCATTGGATGGAGATCTAAGATGTTGATTCATTTCACTTCTCTCTGCCTGTCTGATGTATCATTTTGTAAGGATACTGTTAATAAGTTTGCATGTAATAGTTTTTTAAGGAAATTCAAATTCTTATGTGGAGGAATTATATAAAGTCTATTCTTTATTTAATTAATTTCCCAGACTTGTTTATAATTAAAGATATAGTAACACGCAAGGCAAAATTGACTATGTTAATGTAATCAAGCAATTATTCCATCAAAAAATGTGTATAGCGCGACGGTGCACCTAATATCCACGAAATGAGAATAAGAATTGTGTATACAGTGGCAGTAAGGCTGCAAAAAGGAGGAAAGATGGAATGCTACCAAAGGTAATAAAGTGATAAACTACATGAGTATTTTGCTCAGCATTTTTTTAAGTGGGAAGGCATACATTTTGCTTGGGGTAGTCAAGGGGAACCACTCCTTGTAGATGCAGATGCACCCCTCATGTCGGTTAAATACTAAAAATTACCATTAAGTTTTCATTGGAATAAGGATTTAGTTCCTCATTCTCAATCGCGTGTATAAGAGACAGTACCGCACCCACCCCAGCCTATGCTCCTGATAAAATCAATATGCTATGTTATTAATTTTTAGTAGGTCAATATCAATGACTCTATTTACCCTAGTTTGTTTATTCTATGTTCTATCATGAAGTAATTTAATATGAATGTTACTACAGAATCTTTTTCTCACATTTTTGTTTTTGGTAGAGTTGTTTTTTAAATGTTATCTACAGCTTATTAATCACATTACCTTTGAATTGTTCACAATTACAGCTGTTTTATTTAGTCACTGGTTTTTCCAGATGGTCCCTGCTCCAGGTTGTAAACTTTGTTGCAAACAAGGTAACTTTAATTTACATCTCATTTAAATAGATCAACTTTTTACCCAATCAGAAGTAGTTGAGCGATTAGTTTTACAGCCTCGTACTACTACTATTATTTGGCAAGTGCAGCGTGTGTATGCTTACAAGAAAGTAATATTGAACGAGCCACACAATGATTGGCCAAACGCCAGCTAATCAAAACAAGGATTTGCACTTACCAACACACGCTCCTCACACACGCATACGGACGTCGCTAGCGCTTGGCTCTTGCGGCGGCGGCGAACAGACGTCGTTTGTGAAGGAGTAAGACCTGTCGTTTCGCTAAGAAAAGCGATTTAGATCAGAGTGAAAGTACTAAAAGAAGATAGATTTGACGAAAAGTGTGGAAAAAAGCTCAGAATGTCGTCTCAAGGGCCACAGAGACCAAGAAGGACTTCACCTTCATGTGCAACCAAACCCCAGCCAATGCGAGCTACACTGCCATTTACACTGAGGCAGGGTGGCAGCCCAACAAGATCAAACAGTAGTAGCATCAGTAATGGCAAACGAGGTAGTCCTATCCCTTCGCCAACACAGCCTTGGGAATCCCATCGTGTGAAGTCACGACGATCACCAGACCATCGAACATCGCCAGAAAGAAGCCCCAGTTCACCTTGCTTCAGAGGTTCGTGAATTTTGCAATGCTATTTATATTTCAGCTCTCCTCATCATTACGAACTGATGATGATGAGGGCCTGTCTGTTGTGCACCACCCTAGCTAGGCCTACTGATGAATTGCTGTTGGTTATAAACCTAACGGAATTGCATGCAGCATTATAACCAGGCCTAAAAATGGTGGTAGTAGTAAAGAATGTTTGCATAACCTAATAAAGTAGGGCTTAGTTCTTAGGACTCGGCCCTTTGGATCTGATTTGAATTTAAGCATTTTGTTTTTAATTTAACACTGATGTTTGTAAGAAAACAACACTGTCACTATGCCTAGGGGCCCTCCTAAGCTAGGGGCTATTTAGGCTTAGGTTTTCAGCCGCCAGTTGTATGACAAACTATACGATCCCTGGGAAGGGCGCTTCACTTGCTGAATGTGCGTTGTACATGTGCATGCCATGACGCACCCCTTCTAGGTGCCATGTGCCCTTGATTTGCATATTGATTCCTACAAAAGTATTTCTTGATTTTATTCTAATAAGCTATTTTTTCCACAACAAAATGCATTAAGTAAAATAAAGATTCCCTAGATGTGGTTATTTGTATTGTTCTGTAATGTCATTTTGATCATGCTAATTACTTAATACTGGTAGTAAAAAAGTGACATCATTTTGTTGGCGTTATTTGTTTACATTGTCATTTTGTAATGCGACGGACATAAACGCACCTATTTTCTCAGTGTGACTGACCTAAATGGTATTTTACCATGACGCACCTTTCCTGGGGGTCGTATAGTGCATCGTACAACTACAGCTGCATTAGGCCGTAGCCCTGAACTTTAAGGTAACATTTTATTTTATGCATAGTAACTGTATGTAGTTAAGGCCTCATCTTCCTAGGCCTAGCTAGCCAACATTGTCAACTGTTCTTTCTGAAAATCAACATTATGCATGGTCAATAAAATTATGAAATGTTTTAGAAATAGATTATACTCTGTTACTATTTTGATTTACTGTACTAAGAGGTAAGGCCAAGTAAAAAAAAAACATCCCCGTCCGCATCGTTTTTTTCGCCCACCTTGATTTTTTTTTTATTTTTGGAAAATTCATGAAAATAAAGAAAAAATATATCGAAAATTTAGAATTAAATGTTGGAAAATAAATACCCTAGCCTAAAATAGTGCAATATCTTCGTCTAACCTTTCGTATAG